TATTTTTGTTGTTCTCTCGTCGCGCCCGTGTCAAGTGGCCGACTCGAACAAACCAAGTTGTTGTAAACTGTCCATACGACCATACCTATCACTCGGATTTGTAATAAACGTACCTTGTACACCGAACAATCGTTTCTTTGTTTTATAGCTCCGCTCGAGTAAGAACTTACTCGCGCGAGCGTTGGAGGACGCCTTCGATAGCGGCGTAACCTCTACATTGGTGACCTCGAGTTTTTTCTTTGTCAGCGCGTACGAAGTCGAAAACCGTCGTATCTGCGGCCCGCGCCGAGTGCTCACGCGCGTTTCGTTTAACACGTGTACCGCAACGTTCGCGTCGCGTCCGATCGCACTAACGATAACGCCTCGATTTTTTATTTTATTTATTTTTATTTTTTTTTCTTCTTTTCCGCGTTAAATCGTCATGAACAACGACGAACAGGCAAACGCCACAAACAACACGGACGCCAACGCCGTCATGAACCCAGTCGTCGACGCAGTTTCGAACATGCGGCTACCGGCGTTTTGGAAGCGATCCCCGGCTCTCTGGTTCACCTACGCGGAGTCCATGTTCGCGACTCAGCGTATTACTGCCAATGCAAGTAAAATTAACTTCGTCGTCAGCGCCTTGGACGAAGAGGCAGTACGGAACATCGGCGATCTCTTGCACACGGCCGCCCCGTATACCGACATTCGCACCCGTCTTATCAGCGTCTACGAGGTTTCGAAAGCGTCGCTCTTCCGCGAGATCGTCAAGCCCGGAGGTTTGGGCGACCGTCGACCGTCACAGCTCCTTCGTGACATGCGCAGCAGCATGCCTCCCGGCATAGGCGAAGACGCCTTGAAAGAATTTTGGCTGCAGAAACTTCCGTCGAACGTTACGGCCATCCTCGCCGGCATCGTTGCACCGTTGGACGACATGGCCACGCGCGCGGATCGCATTTTGGAGGCATCCAATCCGCAAGGCATTGACGTCTTATCCAGAGAGCAGTTCAACGACCTGGCCGGCGCTGTGTCTGCGTTGTCCCTGCAGGTC